CAGATTACTGCATCGATACTTCACCGTCGAAATGCAACTTTGCAAGTATTGGAAACATTGAGAAACAACCTCGGTCTGAGTAGTAGCTATGTCAATGAACTGTCTGGGATTCCTAAACCCTATAATGGAAATTGATTCGACTAGATTCAGCTTAGATATCTGCGAGGCTTGAACGATATCTTTATTTCAAGGTCAGACAGAATGTGAGAACGAAAAAAGTACACAGACACAGACCGCATATCAAGGTAAATAAACACTGTTTCATAAACTCTCGTATTGGTGGAATAAGCACAAGCCGGAAGACGTAGTCCGGCAGGCCTCCCACTAGGTGGACCGACGATCTGGTAAAGGTCGCGGGAGGTGCCTGGATGCGAGCGGCGCAGGACCAGTCTGTGTGGAAATCCTTGCGGGAGACCTTTGTCCAGCAGTGGACGTACTGACGACTGAAACGAAGTACGAATTTGCAGTGAAAATGTATAGCCTGATGTGCTGTCTACTGTGCCGTTAAAGACTTATTTAGCCCTCTATCATGACAAGCACAAAATAACTAAGGTCCAGACCGACCGTCGACTTAATCCCTGAAATTACCAAAGAATACATCTGTATTAGATCTATTCTGTAATGTATATTAATAAAAAAACATTCATACTGACATAATTAAACATAAATTCGTCAGACAGCTGTTAATTAACAAAGCACGATTACAAAATAATTCGTCCCAAAAATTATTTTGTCCCCTAACACACAAAACAACTACTTTAACGCGACTAAACCACAATAGATTCATCAGTTTCATTTCAATTCAAGGTTACTATGAAACATTTTCTATAAGAAAACTTCGTGAGATGAAGATAAGCGAGATGTCAACGAACCGGCGCGACTCGATAGCTTGATAACGATAACCTGCACGTTACATTGTACCAGCGACGGCAGATTAAGCTGTACACTGTGACTTCTTATGCAGTGGTATTAAGTGCGATTTTGGAACAGCCATGTTATAGTCTGACGTGACGACTATACGAGTGTTAGTTGGCAGCTGATTAATGTCTCAGTCTGCGACAGCGTTAATAATACATGAGTTAGTATTGGGGTGCATAGAAAGAGCTTCTGCGAATGACTTTATAATCACAATATACCTACATAAATAAACGCATTTTAAAGGTGAGTATAGGCTAAGAGCATTTTCTTGTAATAGATGAACGAGTCGCTCCATGAAATGTTAGTGTATCATGTGTCAAGATCATTATTCGTAAGAACGTTACATTACACAGAAAACTAGTCTATACTGTGTCTATACTCACCTTAAGATGAGGTATTCGGGAAACATCCGAATTCCAAATCGAATACGCACTAAGAAAATTCGCAAACGGAAACATAACAGATACTATTTTTGTAGCCCTGTGAGGTTGAAACCATAATTATTTTTAATTCTACCAGTATCAGACAAATTATATTGTCAACTAATGAAGGCAACGGCGAAGCCAAGACGTTCTATTAATAATTTTAATTGACTTTCCACGAATATTTTTACCGAAAAAACTGTCGTGGATCAAATTCTTAGAGTTCCGATTAGTCGGTTATCAATTTATTACGTGATATAAATAGCGTTTAACGATTGGACTTTCTTGAGAAAATTATTAATACAGAATTAGAATCTACCAAATACCACCAAATTATTCATCATTATCATTAAAATTTCAGTTACAGGACGTCTACCTACTGCTGAACATAGGCCTTCCGCAATTATTTCCAGATTGACCGGTACCTAGCGGGCAGCATACAGTTCCTCTGTCCACCTTGTGGGTGGACGTCATACGCAGCGCTTGACTTTCGTTCGTTTCAGCCTCAGATCATAGATGATCTGAGGTTTCAGCCAAATGACGTCCACTGCTGGACAAAGGCCTCCCCAAGCTTTCCATAATGACCGGTCCTCCGCTGCCCTCATCCAGGTTCTTCCCGCGACCTTCACCAGACTTTACGTGGCGCTTGACTTTACGTGGCCTGTATTCCAGAACTTAGCTGTCCCATCAGCCTTTCATACAACTATCAAATATAGAAAATGACGTGATTCATAGGTATGGCGAGTGACAAAACAATCCAAACATATTATAGCAGATTGGACGGTCTATTAAAATGACCCACTAATGCCCGGGCTACGCTACCGGTTTCAAGGTCAGCGGTCTGGAAACGATGTTGATACTATCACTGTTGTTTACAAAATATGCAGATAGGTCTAAAATCATTAGTAATTTATAGAGCGGTAGGAACTACCTAGATCTATCTATCAAAAGCGAAAGGTCACTGACTGACTCACTCATCACGAAATCTCAGAAACTACAAGTGCTAGGAGTCACAAATTTTGCATGGTGGTTCCTTTAAGAACGTAGGTGCTCACTAAGACGGGATTTTGCAAAATTCAACCCTTAAGGGGGTAAAACGGGCTCCACGCGTACGAAGTCGCGGGCGGCCGCTAGCAATACGAAAGTACCTCTTGCTGACTGTTTTAGACGATTACACGCCTAATCTAATCGAATTTTGGTCGCGAACTATTTAAATTCAACCTACATTCGTGAAATAGAGAGGGGAGGTTTGTATCTAAAAGGTAATCATCGTCATCACTCATCATCAGGATAACAGTGTGGGCTTCACAATGAAAATTGTGATGATGTGTTTTGTTACTTTTCCACGCAAAAACATACTGAATGGATTTTAATGAAGCTTTACAGCATTATTGTTACCTCATATGCTGTAATTTAGAACGATCTGTGACAAACTGAATTTCACGCGGGCGAAGCTATGGGCAAAAGCCAGTATTATGATGGTAGACGACACAGATCTTATGACCTCTTAGTAAGAAACTAGCTCTTATGTTGCAAGCTAGATGCCAGACAATAGATTTTTTGCTTCGGGATTGCCGCGGCGCATCCCGGCGCGGGCCAATTAAAACGGAACTATTAGACCCCACGGGGATTCGACCCCAGGACTCTGTGCTCTAAGACAAATTAGCTACCATGTAAACTGTGAATCTCGTCTACGATACGTCCACATCTATATTTCATGAGTTAGAAAATAAATAAAATAAAGATTAAAGTTTAAAGGCTATAAAGAACAATATTAAATGATGCATCATAATTACAACATTAACCTTTCGATTGACAATCACAAATGTGTCGGCTCAAGTTTAGATTCTTCTCATCTAGCTTCTCTAATCCAAGAAAAATATAAAAAAGCAAACTGTATAAAAACATACAATAGATTTCATTGCATTGTAATTTAAACAATGGAGTGATCATGTGGACTGAAAATATAATTTAAAAGTGTGAATCAAAGAAACCTAGACTGTAAATACATGTACCAATCTATTAAAAATTTTAACCAGTATGCAGTTTCCTAGATTGCAAATTAAATCTAGCTATCAATGAAAAAGGTAAGCAAAATATAGTCTGTTTAGGTAAAAACAATAATAGACATGTAAGGCGAAATTATTGTGTCTGAGAAAATTTAATTTTAGTAGACTTCAAGAATAAAATGTTCAATAACCCACTCAACCTGCTTTATTAATTGGCGTATCTGGCTACATTATAATAAGAAATTACTTTTATTGACACATTAGTACTACACTAAAATAAATTACTAATTAAGCTTATAAGGTCTCATAATTATTAAAACATTGTGTGTTATCATTTTTTATCTGAAACTTATTTTTCCCCCAATTAACATGGTGTAACAAAAATTTTAACAAGCTGATTATTAAATTAATTACCATAATGGCTACAGGAAAATGTGATAACTGTAAACCACAATAACCACATGGAGAGGAAGTCCAGTATTCATAATTAAACATTATTGATTATTTCAATGAATTGGTAATTGGTGTGGTAAAATAGTAATACATGTAAAGTATGAATATGAGTGTCTAAAGGTTAAGTGCTTTAAAGCTAGAAAGTTCAACTTTTACCAATGATTAATATATTAAGACTTAAATTATAATGTGACTTAAAATATTGATTTAGCATTACCAGTTAAAGCCCCAATATTTGGCCTACATTTACCTAATGCAAATAATGTCCATAAGTTTCTCTGAAGTCATCTATCACAAAGTTTTTATATCTCAATCCATATAAGAAAATATCTACATTATTATAATGGCATCGTCCCTGATTCATTCTTTCTAAAATGTCACGACTTCCTGAACAAAAATAGCTAAAGATATTTGTCTCACACTCGATCAGAATGCCATTCACGAATCACAGCCATATGGTTTATGAATCATGGGATACACATACGATCACATGTGCACGTTTATAAACACACACTGTTCTCATAAGAGTAGACATTTCAACTATTACTTTATTATGTTTATTTTGTTAGTTCAGCATTCGTACATGTGGTGAGTGTTGTGATAACTACGGATCCATAAATAGGTTGTCAATGAAAGATTTATCGGGGAAGCCATAAATCTTTGTCTTATTGAAACTAAGAAATAATAGGATACTTTGAGTTGATAATCTGGATAAAATGCAAGACTGATTTGGAAACATCAATGTAACCCAGTAAATGGAGTTTGTACCTACCTATTCACAAAATACGATAGTCTTTTTATTACAACATAGATTAAAGATTTTTTGCGTGCATTTCAAGATGTTTGTAAGAATTTGTAAGTGATCATTTTTGGAGTACCAATTTTGGGAAAATTGCAAGTCGATAAGAATGAATGAAACTATAGAATAGGATTGTTTCGCTATGAAGCTGTTTGGTTTCAATGCAAGTAGCAGTTTGAGTGGAAGGCGAGAGTAATAATTAGCAAAAAGTTATCATTTGGCGATAACCTCGGAAAGACTTTTACAAATACGTACACATAGTAAATTTGTGTAAAGATTTCACACTTAAGTCTAAACTAAATTAACATCCGCGTCACTTTCTACCTAAACACTTACACTGCACCCTAAATTTATCATATAAATCCTAATATTCACCAGAAACATAAAATAAATACATACCCTTAAAAGTACAGTGTAGTTAAGAGGTCATCCAAAAGTTCACCAACAAAAACCATTATCACGAAAATTATACACAATTCACAAATTTCACTAACACATATCGGTTTATATTTAATTAAATCCACACCCGCGCAAATGTTAAAAATCAGTTTCTTATTGACATAAACACAAACTGAGCGTCCGCCATATGCAGGTGCGTTCCACACATACGTCAACGTCAAACTATTCTCACTGTATCTGTTCGAATCGTTCGCAGCTGTCTCTCAATTTTTAGGTATAATTTAGTTTCATTTTATATGAAACACAAAAATCTGTAACGATTTTTTGAATTTAAGAATCATTAAATATTTTAATTTGATAAATTTAGTGAAGAATCCTTTATTTCCAGTTATTCAAAGAAAGGGAAATTCCAATCGTAAATATCTTGCGAAGTATTCCGAACGTACCTCAATCTGCCTCTCACTTCACTACGGTTCGGGAGCTTACGAACTTCACTGTGCTCCAATCCCGACGAGCTTTGATTTCGATTTACGGAAGAGTGTCGATGTATGTGCGAGAGAGAGAGAGCTACATAGTATTTTTTAAGTCAACGGCCTCTATGAGCGTACTGCGACTGCGAGTAAGCTCTTTTTCTATACTGTGACACTCGTAGCTCGTAGTAAAGCGGCTACGAATATGCTACGGATTTTATGTAGAGTACAGTTTGTTTTATTTGCGATCGTTAATGAAAAATTATTATGCATTAAATCCCTAGAATAAAAGTCTGACTGTATCAATCAATGTGACACAGTTTTGCTAACTGAGATTGTCTTCAAATAAAGTAAAATAGGTAGTAGGTACATACTACAATTAATTACTTACCTCTGTCAATCTTTAATGTAAAATCTTTACACTTAATGAAATGAAATCTGGCTTACATAATAAACAGACTTCAGCATAAACTTAGATTGTATTTTATAAATCAGTTTCCTAAAATGAAGCGGTCATCTGGCGACAACTGGACGAGCAATATGATTCACCATTCGCAGCCAATAGTTCGCACGTGGTGGCAGGACATTACCCATTATGTATAATATCCCTCTGATTCAGCCAGCCTGTTCTCGGGTTGAAGCCTTTGCGTATTTCGCGCCTTTTCGTTTTTTAATTTATAGATGTCGCATATTTTTACTTGGTTTCCATTCGTCAAAGATTATTCAGCAATAGAGAAGAGAAAAAAAGTGTATTATCAAATAGTATTAAATCTTAATCTTGACCCAGATACCGATGCGATTTCGTCACACATCCCATACCGCCCACTATTCGGCCCTGGGGCACACTAAATTACTCTGTTTTTTATAGACCGATGAGTAAGAAAATGTATCGCCAAGTTACTTATTTAAATCTTAAAGGTATAATCAGTGGCGTAGCTTGGGGGGGGCAGGGGGGGCCATGGCCCCGGGCGGCATATGAAAGGGGGCGGCGGATAAGAAAAAAAACATTGCATGAACAAGAAAAAAAAAGTTATTCCAAATCGCGTCGTAATATGTTACGTACCGATAAAGCGAAACGAAACGCACAAGTGTGCGCAAGAGAGGACGATAATCGCTTGCGACTGGCTCGCTCGGCCGACGCGCGGCTGGCTCTATCGGTCGGCCGCGGCCGGACTAATAAGTAATCTGTGGCGGCCGGTGGCTAAAGCCTGGTCCGTGAGTACGTAGAATTTTGTCCAATGACCCCAAGCTACCCATCCTTATCGCTCGCGCGTAATTATATTGCTGTCGCGACTGTGCGACGGGCGCCCGCAGAGAGTGTTCGAGCGCGACAGCAACATAATTACGCGCGAGCGATAAGGATGGGTAGCTTGGGGTCATTGGACAAAATTCTACGTGCTCACGGACCAGGCTTTAGTCTATATAATCTGTGTCGGTGGCGCGCGATTACTCCGGGTGAAACTCGCTGATCATCCATCAGTTTCCATCAGGTCAGATGAAGGGCAAGAGCTTCCTCGTTGTGGATAAAAAATGTTCTTTTCAGTTATTGTCTCTAAATGTGTTCTACATTATGTAAACTTAGGGGATTGCATACATTAATTAGTCCTAAGAATGTCAAAAACATGTAACGGAATCTCCGACTTACCACTTTAGTGGAGCGATTACAGAAAAAAATGACCTATTAAGTACATGTTTTTTTGTATTATTATGAAAGTTTAGAAAACTGCGCAGTTTTTAAAACTATTTTGGACCTATGAAAGTTCTTTTTTTTATAGAGGAGAGGCTTAGTTCAAACGATCATAGCAAATGTTGTGATAGGGATAAAACATGCGATTTTTGGTTTTACAAAGATAATACGATAGAGAATAATACAAAGTAATAAAAACTACCTGTTATAGGGGCATTTTTTGGAGAAATTTATCAAATAACCAAAAAAACACGAATTTAAAAGCAGATTTTTTTCAAAAAGTATCATTTTTTATTATTGTTGGCATTTTTTGTGTATTTTATGTATTTTTTTAGTATCGCCTGTTATTTAGCATTATTACTGTTTTTATTTTATCAGGATATACCGCTTAGTTTAAAAGTTATTACGTTTTCTTTACAATAAGTAATTGGAAGAAAAAAAATTCTATAAAAAATTAAAAAAAAATCTCCAAAACGTTGGACCTCTTTTTTGTCGATAAAAATAGGTCTAGTTTCATCTATTTTCATATGTACACTTTAACGTGACTCACACTGTATAATTTAAGATAATATTTACTCTCAATTGACAAATAAATACTTTAATACTTGTTATTATTGTTTATTGTTATACACCTAGTGTTACATAATAAAGCTGAGCTATTTAAGAAAATCAAACTTCCTGTGGGTTTCAAGCAATTGCTTCTCTTTAATGTATTTTCCTTCTGAAGCAGTGCGTGGTAGTTTATTTTGACTTTCAACAAATAAGGTGAATAGTGTACCTAAAGTCCATTCAATACTGCTTACTACGGGTTAGTCGAATCTCATTTAAGATACGGCATAATTTTTTGGGGTAACTCGACCAACAAGGAAATAATATTTAAAATTCAAAAACGATGCCTACGCGCTATGTTTGGACTTCAAGTCACTGATAGCTGTAAACCAATGTTTGTTAAGCATAAGATTCTGACACTTCCGTCTCTGTACATCATTGAAACAGCCTTATTTGTTAAAAGCAATCCCCATCTATTTCCTCGAATGTCTGATGTAATTGTACGTAATCGCCGCGGTGGGGACCGTCTTTGCTTACATTTGGCCAAAACCACATTATTAAATAAAAGTATTATCTGTATGGCACCAAAAATATATAATAAAATCCCAGAAAACTTGAAACAATTACATAATGTTATGTTTAAAAAGAAACTTAAACATTTTCTAATTGACAAGGCCTATTATACTGTACAAGACTTCTTGAGTGACAAAATTTGACTAATTTTAATTTTACTTTTATTATCAATTATCAGATGTACCTATTGTTATTATGAATTTTAATGTATTATTTGACATTCTTACTTGACATATCATTTACATGCCAATATCTTGGTAAAACATGTTGTACCTATCACCTGTTAAAACTGTAAGACCAAATCATGTTGCTTTGTAATATGTTTTCACACATGTTTATGTAAATAAATATCTTTATCTTTATCTTTAAAAAAATATAATACAGTGTGAGTCACGTTAAAGTGTACTTATGAAAATAGATGAAACTAGACCTATTTTTATCGACAAAAAAGAGGTCAAAAATTTTTTGAGATTTTTTTAAATTTTTATATAGATTTTTTTTTCTTCCAATTACTTATTGTAAAGAAAACCTAATAACTTTTAAACTAAGCGGTATATCCTGATAAAATAAAAACAGTAATAATGCTTAAAATTAAAATTGTCTCTACCTGTAGCGGAGAATAATGTTGTAGCAGCCCTTTGTTCAAACGATCATAGCAAATGTTGAGATAGGGATAGAGACATGCGATTTTTGGTTTTACGAAGGTAATACGTTTGACAATAATACAAAGTAATAAAAACTACCTGTTATTGGGGCATTTTTTGGAGATATTTATCAAATAACCAAAAAAACACGAATTTAAAAGCAGATTTTTTAAAAAAGTATAATTTTTTATTATTTGTTGGCCTTTTTTGTGTATTTTATGTATTTTTTTAGTATCGCCTGTTATTTAGCATTATTACTGTTTTTATTTTATCAGGATATACCGCTTAGTTTAAAAGTTATTACGTTTTCTTTACAATAAGTAATTGGAAGAAAAAAAAATCTATAAAAAAATAAAAACAAATCTCAAAAAACTTTTGACCTCTTTTTTGTCGATAAAAATAGGTGAGTGTTTCTCAAAAAAAATGTACGTAACGAAACGGTAGTAACGAAATAGTAAGGCCATAAGGCTTGTTATACATTGGCGAAATATTGTGAATGCTCTTCATTTATTCAATTCGAAATATTTGTAAGTATGCACCCAAATACGGGGTAATAGTAAGGGGTTAGAAATAAAATAAGGGAGTAATTATTCATACTATTTTAATAAAATTATTTTTGTTCCATCATGTTTATCCATTTTGAGTCGTTCTCTGTAGGCTTTTTGCCTTTCGGCATTGGTTTTTGGCGGCATTCCTAAAAAAACAAAAGAATGGCGGAGACGTCAGGCCAACAGCCATTCAGAGTGCAGCTATTGTTGTCCGTGTAAAATAAATACGGAATTGTTCAGAAACCATGGGAAAGTAGAAATAAATCGTAACTAAAGAGTAAATAACGAAATAGTAAATGAGAGCGACTCATTTTGTTTTTTTGCTTTAAATTGCCAATTCATTATGACACCCCATAGAAAATCAATTTGATACAGAAACTGCGATTACTGTAGAACGATAATACAAAGAAATTTACAATAATTTAGTTACGTATCGCATTTTATGAAACAAAAATACATGAAAAAGCTAGGGTGGCAAACAGGTTTTTGTATGAAAGGTAAAAAAGGACTATTTTTAAAATATCTAAATATTTGGTAATAAGTAGGATTATAGCTATAATTCTTCGTTATCTTAAAGATTAATAGTCATCCTTCAAAATTGTGTGTGTGTTTTTTTTGTGTGATGATTTATAAATATAAAACTTTTGAACTGTTTCAAAGCACACTTTTTTTTTTTCAAAATGTACATTTTTTTTGAGAAATACTCAGGTCTAGTTTCATCTATTTTTATATGTACACTTTAACGTGACTTACACTGTATTTAAACTTTAAAATATTTATAATTAAAATAAAGGGCGGCGGATTTCCGAACGGCCCCGGGCGGCGAAAAGCCACGCTACGCCACTG